ACTGACACCCCCCTAGGTTTGCTTTGTTTAAATATTTTCTTTTACATTATTTCTATTTTTATTTTAATTCTTGTATTTAATTAATTTATTATTTTCACAAGATATAAAAAACATCAAAAAAACCAGGAAAAGAGAAAAAAACAATAAATATTTTTATTTTTAGTATTTTCATAAATAAATTGTATATAATTAAATTTAGTTTTAACTTAGGTTTTAATTTTAATTCTCTTAATAAAAAAAATCTAAAAAACATAGAACTAGGGTTCATATTAATTTTTTATCCTTTTTTCTTTCTCTCCCATAATTAAATAATTAAATATTTATTTTTGTAATTAAATTTGTATATAAAAATTAGGGTTAATTTAGGTTAATCTTCTTTTCTTAATAAATTAAAAAACAAATAGAATTAGGGTTAGCATTTAATTTCAATTAATTCTTTTTTCATTAAAATCCTAAAATACTGAAAAATACCAAAAAACAATTTTCTTTTCTTTTTAATTAATTAATGTCACCATTTAATTTAATTTTGCAAAAGGGTCCAACGCCCTCGTTTCGTTTTAATTATTAATTCGCATGTTTATTTTATTTCGTTCAAATATTTATGTATCTTTCCCGAAGCCTTGTAATTAACTTCTCGCATTTTTAATTCCTTATTTTCTTTTACTTTCTTTATTTTCCTGTTAAATCGGGTCCTGGTTTAATTTTGGCGATGTGGACCCGCGCCTTTTGTAATAGCTTAGAATTTACTTTTCTCGCAATTTTTTAACTGTTAAATAATGGCATGAAAGAATGTATGGACAAAAACTAAAAACAAGCGTAGAACACCAATAACATGACAAGATAAATAAACGAATCTGACACACAAATCACACACCACCCCTAGGGTACGCCTCACTGTTGCCTTGCCTCGAAAGGTGATCGTCGAGTAGAGGATGTCTTAGTAAGTCCTCATGATCCGGGAACCTGGCATGAGGGTAGCTTCTAAGGTGTCTTCCCATTGCTCTGGTGATCACCATGTCCCGAACCTCGAATTGACCCGAACACCTCCAACGGTGGTGCTACCTACCTCTCAATGGTGGGATGATACTACTTTAAAGGACACTTACACAGACGAATTCCTTAGGGTAGGTAGACGACTCTAGATACTTGCTCTAATGTCAAAACAAATCAAAAAATACTTTTCACACCGACACCTTTTCAAAAGCTTTCGAAAGCAATTTTTCAAACACTCTTGAGGACCGATACAAGAGTCGAACTGAAATTTTCAAAGAAACTTTTTTAAAACCCACAGTTGAAAAGCAAACAAACCATTTTTGAAAACACAATGAGCAAGTATCTAAGAGCCCATGGATAACCATGGATAGAAGGGGTGCTAACACCTTCCTTTCTATAACCTACCTCCCGAACCGAGAGCAATCTCTTTAAGGAATTTTTCTGTGCTTTTGTCCTTTCCATTTGGAGAAAATAAAAGACGGTGGCGACTCTTGCTTACCGCGACATTTCGCGAACCAGCGTTAAACAGTCAGTTCCAGATCCACCGATCACACTTGGTTCTTTAATAATCATTGTCTTTAGAACCTTGTTATTAGAAACACAAAGTCTTCAACATCTAGACTTCAGTTAGGAACATTGTTTTCATATATTTTAACTTTGTCTTCTTTGAAATAAGTTGTCTTTTAAAAACTAAGTTTTTTAGCATCTGAACTTCAGTAAAAAATTTGTCTTGATATCTTCTAACTTTGTTTCTTTGGAGCACATCGTCTTTTAGAAACACGAGTCTTCAGCATCTGGACTTAAGTTACAACTTCTGTCTTCAGATCTTTTGATTGTTTCCTTAGAACATGTTGTCTTTAGAAGCTTGAGTCTTCAACATCTGGATGTAAGTAGCAACTTTTGTCTTCAAATCTCCTGCTTGGTTTTTTTAGACAAATATCATGGGTTACACTTTAGAGCCTTCTGGAGTGGCTTGCTACTATTCAATAGAACTTGTGTAGCGCAGAAGAGGAACTACTTCTTTTCTAATGTCTTGGCCACACCATCCATCAGAAGTAGAACCTGTTTGTTAAGTATTCAACAATAACAAACATTAGTATAACAAAATTGTTTATACAAACATACTCATTTGTTATCATAAAAACTCAGAGATGATATTACAGAACCAAATCTTGTTCTTACACTATGACTATCAAAAATAGTGAAACTCCTGCAACTGTCAAGCATGCCTAGTTTCACTAATTTGCAGTCAATTATCTCGTTGTGATACCTAACATTCATTTAATAGTGGTTCCACAAGGCTATATGCTCATCACAGGTTAATGGTTCTATCAGATTGTCATTCTCATCTAAATCCCTAATTATCGTCATAAAGGAAAAATTGGAAAGAAACATATCAAACATGTGCCTATAAAAGAGAAGGGCTTGCACTCATGAAGATGAAAGAGTTGTTGAAGAGGATATGGGATATTTTCAACAAAAAAGTGTGTAAAAAAGTGTAAGGGTTGGGTTTAAATCCCTTTAATAGAGGTGGAAACTAGGGGTAATCAAGGATCTCATATGTTTCCATCAGACATGAAAGACTCTGCCTGTTTCTGACTCATGTAACGGAGTAAAGCCAATTTGGCATCCAAGGATAAATAATCATTGATAATATTAAATGTATTACATGTGTTATCTCTTTCAACAAATGTTTGGAGACATCCCTCAACCAATGTATGAATCACATTATTGACACCTGGAGACATATCTGATAGTCACCCATGTGCGGGGAATTCTCCTTACGCGTGAGAGACTCACCTTATGCATATGTGAGTTGCCTCACGCTTTAGGAACTCATTCGAATAAGGGACACAAGACTAAATTACTTTGTCCTTTCCAAGCCTTAGTGCTTGAAAGACTGTGTAGTCGTATATTTGTAAGGGGCCTTAAAGAGGCAACAGGGTAAGCGAGTGTGGCATCATTTTGCTTAGAGCCCTCCCCATCGCCCATTTACAAGTTTGACCACCTGTTTATTGAATGTGTTGCTCCTTTATCAATTATGTCGTCTGCCTCCGAAATAACTTGCCCAAAAGGGAAGACAAGAGAATGGCGTGTTTATAATCTGCTATAATATAGAAAGAGTCACTGAGAAGTTAGCTCTATTCTCCTTAATAAGAGAGGAAATAACTATCCCCTTCCACCTTCTCTTTGAGTTGATTGTTATTTCCAAGGACCTTCATATTCAGGCCCAACATCGCTATAAATATCTCACATTGAAGTTGAGTATATGATTCTCACAGAGAAAATCACATATACAGAGCTTTTCACCCCCCATTTGAACTAACTTTTAACCCTACAACATATCTTAAAACCTCTGACCACTCTTAATCGCTAGAGATTGTTACGTATTCTACTTTTAATAAGTATAATTGACGCTCATTGTATGGTCCCAATAAATGCTATATATTATGCAGTGTAATTAATTGAAACAAAATAAAACCGCATTTGAGAACAATTAGCCTATACTTTAATCTTTTTGCACACAAATTAAAGAATGTAATAATATTATAATAAAGTATTATATTTTTATTAAATTAACCTTAATAACATTTTAGAAGTAGTATACAATAATAGTAACCTATCGTTAATTGGTCCAATGATGATTGACGTTGAACTTGGTAGGGAGGATCACATTTCAATCTCTCACAACGACGATCAGAAATAAGGCTGAAACCACTTAATACCAGAACTGATCTCTGAATTAAATTAGACGGTTCAATGGACCATATATTAGTAGTAAAAAAAAATCTATATCAAACATAAGAACAACATTTATTTTGAATTTTGTTTTTCTTTTAAAATAACATTCACTTTTTAACACGGAGGAATCACATTACTATTTTATTAAATGTGTGGATGTATATGTTGGTAAATTAAATTAATATAAATTGCTGATTTAGTATTGAATTCCTATTTAAATGAGGATGCATTATAGTGTAAAAAAAAAGTATACTATCATCCGATGAAAATTTATCAAGATGTCATATTATATAATTAATTAAAAATTTCAATTTGACTTAACATGATCATGGTCATGTAAAACTTTTCTCATATTTATATTTGTGTAACCCTTTAAAAAAATTAAGTAATCACTAAAACCAAATAAGTCAAACAGAAAAAACGACACATCTTCATGGCTAAATTATCCGAGGGAAGCCGGCGTTCAAGATGCTTAAATTAGATGCCATTTGATTTAATGCCTCAGAAAGAAACTACAATCAACAAGATTTTCTGTCTTTTATTACACTATTTTATTATTCTAGAGTGTTCCATGAAGCACTAACACAAGTGGCCTAGATTCCAAGATCTAAACTTTGCTTGATTTGCACACACTCCACCCCAATACGTAATCCCTAAGCATTTATCATTAAGCTACACTCCAAATAATAATGCATCCTTCACATGAACGGTAATGCACAACAGTCGCTTATAATTGCTATAACAGGCTAAAAGGACAAAATGCAATGAGTTTCTTACAGCATCAGTTTTAGATAATAGGACTCCATATCATTAGTTTCACAACATAACTGTACCAAACCAAACTCTTTTTTTCAGGCAAGGTATACTGAAGAGTAATACTTTGATATTGAGTTAAATTGTACTCCTATACCAATTAGAAAAGATGTTAAGATATGGCAGTACATTTTGTGTTTATACTTGGTTCAACATGCTTGCTATTAATCAATGAGGTAGTTATTCATTAAAAGTTCAACATCAGTGAAAACTTTTAACTGGAAAACATAAATTTTAGTCATTCAATATATTTTGGGGTCACAGTGTGCAGGTGCTTTTTGTCTATAAATAAAAAATGCAGTTTTGAAAAGAGTGATAAATTATAGATAAAGGGTTGACAGGAGAGGATAATTAAGCTACAGCTATCACAAATAGTGTAAGAATCTCATTCAATATAAAACATAATCAACAATATTTGTGCAAACAGAGGCAGACCTATTCTTGACACAAAATCAGCCAACAGTGTCTATGTTAGTACTATTCAACAACGCCTGGTTCACCCATTGTGGGAGTGGCGCATGCACCGTAACACGAACACCGGTAACAGGATGATCAAACGACAACGTTTCAGCATGAAGATGATGACCATCATGAACCCTACCTTTCCATTCACAAACCCCTTCATATTTCACATCCCCAATTATTGAAATCCTTAAATATTGACAATGCAACCGAATCTGATGCGTTCTCCCACTCCTCGGATAAGCTCTTACCACTATCTCATTCCCATCATCACCACCGTCCGTTTTCACCGCCTTTTCTTCAACAACCACCACACTCCTCCCTTCAAACCCCGACTCACACACCTCCGTAAAACTCCCTTTTCCGTTAACAGATAAAACCTCGAAAGAAGTTTCCATTTCACGTACACGCGAACCACCCGGTAACCCGCGACCGACGTCAGAAAAACCATAAACTCTCCATGCGCCGAATTTTGACCTACCGTGACCGGATCTAACGGTGATCGTTTCCCAAATAGGTGCAACACCGGTGCAGAGAGCGATGTAGGTTTTCTTGACTTTGCGATCGGTGAAGGCTTTGACGAGATTTGAAGCTACCTTGTGTGATTTTGTTATGAGCATGACGCCGCTTGTGTCGCGGTCAAGTCGGTTAGCGAGATGAAGCTCCGGCGGTGCGGTTTTTTGTGATTGGAGGGAGGAAAGAACGCTGTCGCAGTAGATTCCTTGGGGTTTGTTGACTGCGAGGAGCCATTCGTCTTCGTAGATGGTGTGGCTTTTTGAGAGGGAGAAGAGGTTTGAGTTTGATGAAGCGATTGTGGCTCTGTTCAGTTCGATTTCTTTTGAGATTGCGGGAAGTGGAGGCGATAATGGTATAGGGTAATTTTCTGCGAGTGTGGGGGTGTTTGTGGAAATGTTTGATGGTTTGTTTTGGGGTGACGATGACATGGCTACGGCGGCGGGCGAGGTTGATGTGGGTGGCAGCTTTCAGGGGGTTTGTTTCTGAAATGGTGGTGGTGGTGGTAGTGGATATAGGACTCGGATCCGGATCTGGATCTGGATCCAGATCCCACCGGACCAAGTTTAATTATCCATTTATTACTAGTTTTTGGCTTGCTGCCTACACCTTCAAAACATCATTTTCACCCCACCTTACCTCCTTTTGTCTTTACCGTCTCTATAGGCATTACAAGGTTGTGCCGAATTGGTTTTACAAGGTTCAAGTCCAATCTTATGAAAATCTGTAGGAAAATTTTAAATTAATCCTTAAATCTTTCAAGATTCCTTTATTTTAAATTTTTTATCTTGAAAATTATATTTATGAGAAGGATAATATGTACGTTCATACAAAATATTTTGGATAGTAATTATCTACGAGTTTTTTATTCTTAAAAACGAAATTGATGATTTTGATAAGCTTCCAAAAGGTTCGTTAGATGATGAAAATAAAAGCATCCTATGATTCGAAGACAAAGAATATATTGATCTCTGCGTTAAGCACTGAAGTATAGTATTTTATCTCACATTATAAGAATCCACAATTAATATAGAATGTCTTTAAGTCTTTAATGATTAAGGATTCTAAAATCACCATGTTAACAGAGGAGTATAAAATTTTGTACATGGAATCCGTTGAAACCGTAAAATCGATGCATACTCGTTTTTTCCTTTTAATCAATAAATTATAAATTTTGGGAAATTTCTTTTCTAAAAATAATTGTGGAAACAAATTTTTAAGATTTATACGTTGAGAATAATAATCGGATGTTACAACCATTAAAGAATTAAATGATCTCAATAATTTGGATATCACAAAACTATTTAAAAAAATGACTGAACTTAAAACTCAACCGAAACAACTCACAATAAGTGAAGTAAGTCCTAAAAAGAAAGAGAATGTCAAAGAATAAAAGTGAGATATTTTCTTGAAAGCTTCGTCGTCAAAGTTAAAGTAAGTAGACAATGATAGTGACAGTTCTAATGAAGACTCTTCTAAAGGAGAGGAGGCAGGGTTATTCGCCAAGCGTTATAATCAATATATAAAGAAGCACAAGCTCAAACATTTCGATAAAAAATTTATAAACTTTAAGAAGACATCTGCATAAGAAGGAAGATAAGAAAAAAGGAAGAAAATGTCACATGTTACGAATACGGAAAGTCCGGTCATTATCGTACGTGTTCATGTTTCAACAAGTGCAACAAAACGAAGGATAACGACTCCTGCAAAATTAAGAGCAATCATGCTAAAGGTCGTAAGGCTTATATCACTTGAGAGGAAGAAGATGAGAGATCTTCTTTATATTACAGGTCTAGCTATTGCGCATAAGAAAAGTAAAAACTAAGAGGTATATAATTCTAATTCAGATTTTAAATCGTCTTACAAATAATTGTTAAAAGTGTTTAGAGAAATGCATGCAGCCGTTTCAAGCACATTTAAGAAATTCTCTCTTTTAAAAAACTTATTTCAAATCTTTAGAAGAAGATTTGTGATCTTAATTATGCCTTAGATTCCTTAAAGAAAGAATGTGCAACTCTCGCTAGTGAGTGGTCAACTGTTTTTGATACTTTAGATGAAAAGATAGTGAAGATAGAATGTGACACTCGTCCTATTTTATAAATTGAAAATGAAATCCTTAAAGGAAAATTGGAACAAGTTATTTCTCTATCTACAGTTCTACTTCTTCGCGTGAAAATGGAATGGTTTTAAGAAAAAACTCTTTACTTGCTAAAAGAGATAGGAAGAATAGTTCATCTAAAGCAACATGTCATTATTGTGGCGATGAAGGTCACATTTTCCCTCTTTGCCATGTTAAAAATGTCAAAATTATTAATGGTACCATGGCTTGGAGACCTAAGTGTTCTTTGACTAACCTTTCAGGATCCACTAGTTGGATACCTAAGTTACTTGTTTGATTTTTTGTATGATATCTTGCCTCCTCAAAAAGGTTGTGGTTCCTAGATAGTGTATATGTTTAAGACACATTGTTAGACAGTTAACTTCAAGCATATGAAGGGGGTGGTGAATTGTGCTATTTAAAATTCTTGATTAATTTAGTGATTTTCTTAATTATACTTGAAATTGTGTTAGTAGTTTCTTAAGGATAATGTGAATAGCATGGGAAATAAAAAAAGTAAAATAAACAGCAAAAATTAAATAGGATAAGGGTTAAAGAGATTGTACTAGAGACTTATCTAAGTTCGGCTGAATGTTTGCCTAATTATTTTTTTTATACCCCAAATTTATTCTACTCTTCTCTAATCATCTGGCTTACGCATCATCATGTACATACCTTCTCATTAGGTTATCTAACACATCATACATCATTAATAAATAAACTTGGCATGGGATCAAGGACTTCGAAGTTTAGGGTTTCACATGGTTTGAGATGCTTACTTTATACAAGCTTGATTCAATTGGATTTCTCCTTGAGCATGGACCAAGGGAGTTAAGGTTAGGCTCTACAGTCATCATGTGCTTTCTTTCTTCAACATTTGGGCTTGGGCAGCATATGAGGGGTGATTTCATTAATTACTTGAGGCACAAATCATTCTATTGGACTTCATTCAAAAGCTCTGAGTTCAAGCAGGGAGTTCTTGCAGGGTTTCATTTGGTTTAATCGTTATTCAAGTTGAATGAGGGTTTATTTCCATATTCATGTGGTGATCAAAGAGATCCATTTGGCAAATCATCCTCATTATGGTTTCATTTGGATTCATTTCACAATTAGGGATTTATACATCATTGATTCAAGGGTTTTCACACTTGGTTTTGTTCAAGTGTGCAAGATTAAAGCAAAGATTATGTGCTTTCATTCAAGTTTGCAAGAATTAGTATAAAGTGGAACTCATGAACCATTTCAAGAAGGAATGCATTTGGTGAAATTTTGACCAAAGTCCATGTTAAGTTATGGTTTCCATATTATCTTGGTTGATGCTCATTCAAGTTTAGCAAGATTGAAGAAATATTGAAGAATTCAAGCGAAGTGCAAAGTAAAGGATTCAAGATTCAAATGTGCCAAAAGAAGAGAAATCTATTTTGAATATATGGATTCATCATTGGAATTCAAGAGTACAAAGGCATACATCATTGCAAAATTATAAGACCATTTCCATAGTTACTTCACCTGATCCTAGGTCCTAAAAATTCTTGATCCTAATTCTAATCTCCACGTTATGAATCAAGTATTCACTTTGCATCTTTAAAATACTTTCATTCCATGAGATGAGTCTTCCTTATGCTTTCATCTTCACCATAAAAAGTCAGAACTGAGGCAGCCCTGCAAAATTAATAAATCGTTCTAAGCCAATGAAAAATTTCTTTTTGTTCATTAAACAATTCATTCATTCATTCCCTTAGTAAGTAAGCATTATATATAACACACCCTTTAATTAGAACAACAAGAGTGAATATCATGAAGTACCATAGACGTGAGCGATGCTAATACCTTCTCATTGTGTGATCGACTTTCGTACCCTTTCTCTTGGTCGCAAGACCATCTTATCCTTCCTTTTGGGGTTTTCTCGATATTTTCCCTTCCTTCGAGATAAATAAAGTTCAGTGGCGACTATGTGTTTTCGCGGTGCGATAGCTGGCGACTCTGTTGGGAAATTACCTAAGTAAGTCAATCTTAGAACTTGTTTGTTTTCTTTTTATTTGGGTGTTTATCTTTATGCTTTACTTGCTGATTATTTGTTGCATGCATTGCATTTTATTGCTTTCCACTATTTCTGATATTTGTTGTGCTGTGCTGGGATTTCCTGTTTTTCAGGTTGGATCAATGTTACTTTGAGGTAAAAGGCCTAATACCAAAGCCAGTGTTCACATAGGATTAGAGTGGACAGTCATGTCGACTCTCGTGGCGCTTGACACGTAAAAGTTAGCATGACATACCATAACCAGACGAGGACTTCATGGGATGCCTTTGTCGTGCATGCCTATGCACAACACAAGGTATTTTCATAGAAGGTTATCGACTCTGGTGACCATTAGGAATCCTTGTTTTGTTCATGACTAGAACCAACAAGTGAGATGTGGGTTTTTTTTACAGGAAAACAAGCCTGCATCCTACCTGGTTTTCTCAGATTCAGAAACATCGTCGAACCTTTGAACCTGATATGTTCAACTTTGTTCTGAAATCAGTATAGTATTTATTCAAAAGATTGTATAGTATTTATTCAGAGGATTGTACATTGGTTACCTAGATTCATTAGAGCCTTGATCCCATGCTATTTCATACCATTTCGTCATACCATTATGTATATGCATCCCATTTCCATGGAATTCCAAAGTCAAGTCTCTTTTGTTGAGCTTTTCAAAAGATAAATAATGTCAGAAGAATATTCATGAATAGACAATTTTTTGGGTTTCTATGGAAATGAAAGATGAAACATGCATTCATAATATCATGCATTTCATTGTTCATATGAGAAGCTTATTGGGGTCCCTTTTCACTCAGATTTCAGAATCAACGATAATGAATTCCCTACATCTGTACCATACCAGAAGCAGTGGCGGAGCCACGTAGGGACTGAGGAAGGCCACGTCCATCCCTTTCTTTCTTTTTTCTTTCATAAAAGTATTATATTGGAAAGTATCAAAATGATTTGCTTAAAGCCAAAGTTCCTTCCTTATTCTTCATTCTTGGCAAAACCCTCCATTTTACATCTTAAATTCTTCACAAATCAAGTTCTTCAAACCCTCAATAACACCTTCATCTTCTTTTAAATTTCAACAAAATTTCTTTTTCTTCTTTCTGTTTGGTCTCGAAATCTAACTGCGAGTATCTAATACTTTAGCAAAACAGAGTTCAAAATGACTCATGTTGCCGCATTTCACTCACCTCTTCGTTGCCACTTCACTCACCTTATTGTCGAAGTTTTAAAAAAATGTTTCGGTCGTGTTGCAGTCGCGTAAGGACTTTCGCAATTTTGATTGGTACAAGTATCGC